CTCATACCAAAAGAGGACACTGACCTACAACAAATTATAAACTATAAACCTATCTCCCTGCAGAAACTGGTTCATATTTATAGCCGTTGCTATGTCCCAAGATCCTGTAATCATCATTTGCAATCCTCTGACAAGCAAAATCAATAGGGAAGCCAGCTTCACTTAACAACCGGGTTACTAACTTATCAACTGCAGTGATTCACTGAGCAACAGTGGCAAGAAAGGTCGTAAAATGGGGCAAAACTCAACAAATGTCTCACTTAACAAAAGAAATGTTGTGCTCAACTGTGGTCATAAGTCAAGGACTACCCTATAGTTTGTTAAGCTGAGGATACTGTATATATTATATATCACGTTGAAATAGAAAATAACTGTATGTATATTTGGAAACTTCCTTTTTTCACCCTTTGATGCCTTCATGCATCTTGTCCTATCTAACTCCCCTAAGCTTAATTTTAAATAATTGAAAATTGATAGGAGCTTAATTAGGCGCTCAAGTGAGTGAAGATCAGATCTATATTTTCTACACCTAAGGCTACTTCTTAGGTATATCCATAGCAGAAAAAGAAATACACTGGTGTGTATTTAGCCGACGTGAGGCTTTCAGCCATAATTCTTGTATATTCAGATGCTGAACAGAAGAATGGTCCTGTAGAGCTATCTGACCCAGATGTTCTTCTAAAATCTTTTAAAGGTAAAAGTAGAGTTTAAGTCTGATTATTTTCAAAAGAACAAGTGAACCTCTGGAAAGAAGGGTTTTTTTTTCCTGAACTTTCCAATTGCGTTAGATGTGCCTATACATTTTAATCAGCATCAGATGAGCTGCAGAAGGACCATGCTGGAGCCCCTGGAATCCATCCCATTCACTTGCCGGAGAAGTCAGCAGACACAAAATACTTAAGACTATTAGAATACAAAGCAGCCACTCGAGTGAACTTTGCAAGCTGTATCACATCTGGATGCATTAGCGCTGCCTGGTTTCTGAAATATGTCCAATGTTATTAAAAGCAGTACGATTTTATGCTTCCAGGGTATGTCAGTGTACTGATAACCACAAGCCTCGCAAGCCTCATAATCATTTTTCATTTTGGATGGTAAAGAAAGTACCATTTACATATTATCCAAAGGTTAGTAACAGCACTATGTGCTAGTTTTTCCCTCAGATTTAATCATATCTGGAATCTGCAATATGTAGGATGCCAGCAGCTTGCAGATGAAATGCTGTTGTTTCACACCCTTATTTCTGCTACCTGCCAGAAGTGTGTGTGTGTGTGTGAGAGCTAATTTAATTTAAAAGGTTTATCTGCAGACATATTTCACTGTTTTACATATGATGAATGGAACCATTTGCCTTCTGGCTTCCTTTTGTTGAAGTTTCTGAGTAAAAAAAAAAATCCACTGGGACAACATGAATCAAAGGCTGGGTACAAAAAATCATTCAGTCCATTAGTATAAAAGGATGTGGAGAAGACTTAGCAAATTACCCATTTTGTAAGCAATACACTATTTAAAAAAGAAAACAAAAAACGGTAATTCCAGGACCTCTTCCCCTTCATGCAGGGGTGGGATTCTACCAGTTCGCACCTATTCACTAGAACCAGTTGTTAACATTCTAAGCAGTTCGGAGAACTGGTTGTTAGAAGAAATTACTGGCCTAATCCTGTAAGGAAGGCAGGAAGGAAACATTCTGGTGTTGCTTACAGAAACTGCCTCTCTGTTAACCCTTATTACATTCTTGGCAGGACTAGACTTCCTGTCTCAGGAACGACTCTGGAGTTTTTTTTCTCCTCCTTTGCTGGTACTTTGCTTATGTGGAGTGACCATTTAAAGTTACAATGGCACTGAAAAAAGAGACTTATGACCATTTTTCACACTTACGACTGTTGCAGCATCCTCACAGTCATGAGAGGCCAGGCAAGGAGATGCGTGCCTTGATGTGATATTGAGTTAGCCACACCCAGCCAATAACATGACCACCAAGCCATGTCCATCCAGTCACATGACCACCAAGCCACGCCCACCACCTAAGCCATACCCACAGAACCGGTTGTTAAAAATTTTGAATCCCACCCCTGCCTTCATGGAATGTGTTTAAATTAGAGATTAGACTATGAGTACTGATAATGTGTGAGGGGAACCTTTACCTTTTTACTGATGATATTACCTAGTTTGATAATGAAATGTCTGCAAGGAACTACCAAGCTAAACTGTCTTGCTTAGCAGCAGACCTTTGGCCTCAATTGTGGTTGTAAGTGGAGGACTACCTGTATTTTAGATTGACAAGCTGTCAAATTGTTATTTTTAAATGAGTAATTACCTTTTGCTTTCCTCTTTGCTTCACTTCTTCTTGCCCACTGCTACTCAATTCTCTGGCCTGGAGTATGGCAGAACATCCCCACTCTTCAACTTTTAGGCTAGAAGTTTCTTCTCTCCCTCCCTCCCTCTCCCTCCCTCCCACCTCTCTCTCCTTACTTCTGTGCAGAAATGAACTTCGTTAATACTTCGTCTTTACCAGAGTGTGGCAGACAGAGTCTTGTGTATGGGCATGCATGGAGCTTAGAGAGAATATTGAGCTTGACATTGCAATGAGATAGTAGGAAATCTGTGATGAATTTGCTTGCAGGTTTTTAGAAGGAAAAAAACAGCTGTGGCATATAATTTTTTTTTACATAAAATGTTTTACCAATGGCATATCCCCCCATAAAAATTAGCAAAAAGGTACCCAAAATTATCCCCTAAATACTGGAAATGCAACAAAGAAATCGGAACATACTACCATATATGGTGGAAATGTGAAAAAGTCCAAATATATTGGCTGAAAATCAGAAACTGGTTAGAAGAGATGTGTAAAATTAAAATAGAGTTCAGACCCAAAAAATTTTTATTGGGAATCAATGTGGGGAAATATAATAAAGAGATAATATACCTAATAGTTCATGTCACCACTGCCGTGAGATTAGCTCTTGCCCAAAGATGGAAAAGAAATGATATGCCAGAAGAGATGGAAATAATTAGAAAAATTGGGTCATGTGCTGAAATGGATAGAGTAACTCAAGAATTAAAAGATAAGACTGAATCTGACTATTACAAAATTTGGGAGAAGTTTTACTACTGGTTTCAAAAAGAAAGGAGTGATTGTATTAACGATGATTAACATTTATGTACGTAGGTAAATTTGTATTTTTTGTTATGTATGCACCATGTTCATTGTTTTTAAATGTTTTTCTGTTTGTAAATAAATTCTGTTAATAAAATTAAATTTTAAAAAAGTGATCACCGATACAAGCAGTGGTGGGATTCAATTTTTTTTTTGCCACTGGTTCTGTGGGCGTAGCTTGGTGGGCATGGCAGGGGAAGGATACTATAAAATCTCCAGTCAGAGGTGGTATTTGCCGGTTCTCCGAACTACTCAAATTTTCCGCTCTGTCAGAATCTGCTGAATACCACCTGTGGATACAAGCCATTTTTCTGAAATGGGTGTAATTTTTTGCATACAGACAAAATAGATCTACAGAGGACGCTATAACCATCACTCTTCACACTGCTCTGACTCATCTAGAATAGCAGGGGGGTTATGTGAGGATGCTTTTGGTGGATTTTGTGGATCTAATTCAATCTGCCTTTGGATTATGGATTTTCTGTCTGGCCACTCACAAAGGGTCAGATTAGGTAATCATACCTCTTCAGACCTTATTCTTAACACTGGTACACTGCAGGATTGCGTGTTGAGTCCCTTACTCTATACTATTTATGTGCATGACTGCATTCCCACTCATGCTAGTAATACTATTGCTAAATTTGCAGATGATACAACAGTGGTGGGACTTATCTCCAGGGGGGATGAGTCTGCCTACTGAGATGAGGTGGACAGGTTGCTTTCATGGTGTGGAGACAACAACTTGGTCCTCAACACCATTAAGACCAAGGAGCTTATAGTGGATTATAGAAGGAATAGATCAAACATCCAGCCCTTGCTTATCAATGGAGACAGTGGAGCAAATGGCCAGTTTTAAGTTTCTGGGTGTTACCCTAAAAAAGGACCTGACCTGGGGTGCCCACATTGCAGCCCTGGTCAAAAGGGCCCAGCAGAGATTATACTACCTGAGACTTTTCAGAAAACAACTGAATAAAAAACTGCTGGTGATCTTCTACCGCTGCACCATAGAGAGCATTTTAACATACTGCATCTCTGTATGGTTTGCCAATTGCACAGTGGCAGATAGGAAAGCACTCCAGTGGGTTAATGTCATTGCCCAGAAGATCATTGGTTGCCCTCTCCCCTCTTTGGAAGAGCTCTATAGCTCCCGCTGCCTTAAGAAAGTTCAAAACATTCTCAAAGATCCATCTCATCCTGGGCACCCTTTTTTTGAACTATTACCATCTGGCAGATGGTACAGAATAATAAAAATAAGGACAAATAGGCTGAAAAACAGCTTCTATCCCAGGGCAGTAGCTCTTTTGAATTCTGCTGTATAATGCAGTGTTGGTGTGGTGTCGGGGGTTTCCGGTTCAATGTGTAAAGGGTGAAGGATGTTTGTTTGTGTTTATTTTCATAGTCAGGGACATGATGTGCACTGAAGATGGTGTTTGATTTCATTGTATGAGGTGCAATGACAATAAAATAATCTAAACTAAATTTATTTACTGCAAATAAGTCAAATGATATTGTTGCTATTATTTTTAACAGCTTTCTAAGTTATCCTCCCATCTTTCCTAGGATCAAATTTGGGGTGGCTCTTTAGGCCACTCTAAAAGCAGCGACCACATTTGAAAGATGATGCAAACACTTCATTTTTCTTTCAGCTGAAACTCCTGGGGAGACATCAAATTCTTTTGAATACATCATTCCCCCAACTGAGTCAAGCAGAAATCTTATTAATCTTCAATGAACATTTTGTTATGAGACTGAACTTAAATATGCAATCCAATCTTCAATTTTTTTTCTGAATTAGTAAAAGGATGCATTTTGGAGTCTAGATTTGGTCTCCTAAAACAGTTTATTAGTCTGGATTTCCAAAGAAGCTTAGGTCTTTTGATTCTAGAGCTGCTGGCATATCAATTTCATTCCTCAGCCTCTGAATTTCCATATTTAAATCCAGCAGAGTTTTGGCAAGTTTCCGGTTCTGGAACTTCATCTCAAGCTACAAAGAAACAAAAGACAGTAACTGCTTTCAACGAATGATCACCATCCAGAACAGCTTAATTAGAAGCAGAAATCAGCCTTGCTTCTGTTTCTGGTCAAAATTTAGTCCTGAAATATTTGTAAGCAAACTTATATCAAAGAACATTCAGGCAAGCACAGAATGTATTTTTCACACAGCACAATAAACCAGAATAAATTGTTTCAGATTCCACATGTAACGAGAGTGCTTCGCAATGCTTTATAGCCCTCTCTAAGTTTACAGAATCAGCATATCGCCCCCAACAATCTGGGTCCTCATTTTATCGACCTGGGAAGGATGGAAGGCTGCTGAGTCAACCTTGAGCCAATGAGAATCGAACTGCAGGCAGCCGGCAGGCAGCAGAAATAGCCTGCAGTACTGCATTCTAACCACTGTGCCCTGGATAACATTGCAGAACGCCATCAAATCTGGTGAGGGCTAGTCTGCCTACTATGGTGCACTTTAGATAGCGTGCAAGCGTGAACAGAATGGATTGGCAATTATTGGCAGCCAAGCAACTACTTTGTATTAATACTGTACTCTCTTGGCTAATGTAACACTGCTGTATGCTAAGTAAATAATAATACTTATGCATCTCAAGTGGTTCTGATCCAGATTTTGAGCACCTTTGATTTCAAAGGTGGCTGAGAACCATTGGTGACCAGCTAACAAAATGATGAAATAATTGATGATTATAGAACTGTCTTTGCTTCATTCATGGAACTCTAGCATACTACCCGGAATATTTTGGAACCAAACCAGTCTCTGAGAACAAAGAATGAAACACAAGAAAAATAAGGCATAATTTGGCATTTTAAAAGAGACATTTGAAAGTGCTTTGATTCAAGCGTGAGTAAAAGATTAAACTTGTTGTTTGGAAACTGGGTGATATTTCAAGTAGAAGTAAAAACATGGTCTGTCAAGGAGCTAGGTAAGATTAAAAAAAACTTGGCAATATCTAGATGTGTTTTAACAATGATGCCAATTAGTTGGTAAACACACCACTGCTTCTCTAGCATTGTCTTGGTTGTATTTTTAAAAAATGGCATCAGAAGAATGTATAGATTTTTCCCAAACCAGAGATCATTCTGAGGAGTTATAATTGCAATTTATATTTTGACTTGATAACACAGCAGGAAGAAATACCATTATCAATCTTGTTTCAGACACCTGAATATGATCATAATAATATAATCTCAAAATGATTTCAGTTTAATACACCAACTTAGAACCCAAACAGGGAACTGTACATCGCTACAAAGTCAAACCTGGGTGAAACTTAATTGTCTTCCCCACATAACTCATGTACTTTTTAATCACAGCAGCTTCTTCTGTGCATCACATCAATATATTTCTTTCATGATTTGACTCCACTTCTCTCTGAACGATTTTTCCCCCCAATGGATCAGACAGCTCTAAGAGATCCTGTTTCTAATCACCCAAGATTCTTTGTGTCCCTCTTCACTCGTTATATTTTTCTTGTTTTGTTAGGTTTTTTGGGGGTGGGGTGGGGGAAGTGAATTGACAAGCATGGATACTGATAATGATATAAAGGCTTCATATCATCATCATCATCATCATCATCATGGATAAGGCAGCAAGGAGAAGAGCAAGTAACTTCATCCTTTGGCCAAAAATGGTTATTGTTTCATCGCTGGTGTTAATTTTCTTTCCCCATCCTTTAGTTCCAACAGGAGGGACTATATGATTTGTACAATACTTAGAAAAGGTTCAGAAGTTTGTAATAACAAAACAAGTAAAATGGACAACTTAGGGCTACAGTTCACCCCCTTCATATTCTCAAAGGAGGGTGTCTAACTATCTCTCTTGCCCACTTCACTTACCAACTCTATGCGAAGCCAGGCTATGCCCTTCTCCATGTGGCCCCAGTGTAGGTGCTGAGTGGGCACAGCTCTTCTGCCACGGCCCGTATCTTCAACAGGTCTAGACAACACAGGAGTAATTGCTACCCCTGTCATCTGCCCTTGGAAAGCTTGGAGCAGCCTCTGTTTTATGTCCTCCAGCAAAAAGCTGGAGAACATATCTTCATCCTCTTCTGGCTTCATTGAGCAAGGGTGGGATGGAAAGAAGTGGTGAGGCGCAGCCAAGCTTCAAGAGATCTCTGCCAGCCTCTCTCCCACACTCTCCCTTGTGCTTATTGTTTCCTAGCCTTGAGCCGCTCTGGCTCTTATGTACAGAAAGCCCATCCTCCCCTCCCCTCCCCTCCTTGTATATCATTCCAAAGAAAGTGGGAGAGAAGTGGGGGGTAGACTGGGGTAAAGAGCAAAATTTCTCCCTCTGGGAATCAATCTCTCTTCTTTCTTTCTTCCTTTCTCTCTCCCTCCCCACCTCTTTCACTCATGCTGCATTGGAAGGAAAGGCACAATCTAGGCCTTTCATTCCTGCAGTGCAATGATACAATTTATTCTTCTTGGATGGATTAGTCTCATTTCCATCTTGCATTTCAGCCAGCTCATCTGCATACTTTACCATAACTGTAGTCATAACACAGCAAGGTAATTCTCAGATCAAACCTGCTCAAACCCAAGGAAAAATCCATACACCAGTAAATACAAAATTGGTTTGCCCAAATCTAATTTTCAACAGTTTGGTCTTTGAACACCCAGAGAAAATGGAAAATTGTGAGTTCTGAGACCTAGACATTCAAGTTTCCTTATAGTGAAATATTTCCATCGAAGTTCATCTGTAAACCACGTGTTCTTAATTTCCAAATCAATGGCATTCATGATTAAAACTATTGTATATATCTTGACACTTTTGTGGTAGCGATCCTGTCTTTGGCAAGCTAGAAATCACATCAATTTAGAAGCATGCTCGGCATTTAGATACCACAAATGTGGGTGCAGAATACTTTATGCCACAAAGTCAATGGGGCTTTGAAGTCTGGATCTAATTTGACATCCCTTCCCTTAATCCAGATTCATGCACATATATGTATCTGTATCAAGCCAATTTGATTGGGTGATTAAGCATACTTGCTTTTTAAAGAAAGCAAATTGGAGAAAAAAATGTATATTTTTGAACTGTCTCCTATTTGCAAAAACAAGTAAACAAGACTATATGCATGCCCTGTCTCCTCCATGTTTTAAAATAGACCAAATTGTAATACCCCCCCCCCCAATGTCCTGAAGTTTACAACTTACAAGACCATAAAATAAAACTGTAGGAACTGGTCATACTCTTTGCTCATTTTCAAGGGCACCCACGATAAACTGGAATTAATGTAAAAGCTGATAAGCACACAAGCTCAATTATTATGCAACCAACCAAGGCTGAGAATGAAAGGTCAAGCCTTACAAGACAAGGATGCAAGATTTTTTATTGTGGAAATGACCTGAAGATAATGTACCAGACTATAAATTGGAAGAAAAGAAGGGAACAAATTGTAGCAGCTCTTCAGAAAATCTTTATTAAGGTGGGGTGGCTTCTTTTTTTCTTCTTGCAGCTGGTAGTAGGTTTATCTCACTTTTGTTGTGTGTGAGAGGGAAAAGGAAGTCAGAAACTTGTGTAAAGTTTCTACTGAATGGCTCTTTTTTTTAAAAAAAAGGCTAGACAAAGTGAAGATTGGATCACACCTATCTTTCCACCCAGAATCTTCCAGCTCTACTGGATTATAATGTCCATCATTTGCCATGATAGGTATTGTAATCCAACAACATTTTAAGGGCACCTGGTTGACCAAGGCTGGATTTGTATTTATTTTGAAATATCTTTTTTATAAATTTTAGTTGTACATTTTTCTTTAACATAAAGATTAACATTAATAAACTGTGTATTGTCTGGGTCAATTTACTTGCACATATCAATAGTAGTAACAATATTTACTTGTATACAATGGTATTCTTCTAACTTCTAATTTCTACCTTCATTGTCTAAACATTTTTAAAACAAATCCCATGTTAAAAATATTCTGTATCTTCTTTATCCTTTATCTTTAAGGTTAATATTTAATGTGAAATATTGAGGTGGCCCTATGTGAAGCTTTTCATATATTCAGTTTTTCTAGGACTCCGAAAAAAACTCTGGGCTTCATTTTTGTTATCTGCTATGGCATGTCAAAAGATATCTGTGTAAAGGGTTCCGCATGATCATTTACAGAAGATTCATTTAGCTCCAGCCTATCAGTTACATATTGCAAGAAAATAAAAAATCTACAGAGTTTATAAACCTTTTGGTTGTGTTAAGAGATAAATTTAAAAATAGTTGGTATAATTTCAAAAGATGGAAGTGTTAAGTGAGAAGTTAGGGAAGAATACTGACTTTTTATGATTTTGCTTTGGCTGTACCTGCTTGCACCAAAACATGGCACAAACATCCCCTGGCAAATATTTCTTTCTGCCCTGAGATTCACATCACTATCCAGACTGATGTTTGAGAGGTGTTTAAATGATCTTTAGTTGTACCAGTATCATAAGAATATGTTCAGCCTTATTCTGACACCATCCAGCATACGTACAAACAGGTTGTCAAGGACCTAGAATTTGATTGCATTCAGAACAAGCATGCTAAGGAGTACAAGATCCCCGGGAGAAAAAGCAGCAGGTATGATTTGCAATCTTCCCTGCTGGCTTCTGCATTGACTTGACATATAGGAAGCCACCAGGGAAGGTTGCAAATGACAATCACATGACCCTGGGATGCTATAACCGTGAACTGGTTGCCAAATGCCCGGATCACGATCACATGACCATGGGGTTATTGTTACAGCCAGAACTTTGAGGACTGATAAGTATCATTTGTTCAGAGCAATGTCAACGGTTACTGAATGAGTGGTTATTAACCAAGGACTACCTGTGTGTGTGAACATACACAAAAATATGTCCACATCCCTGGCTAGAATATCTCTAACAATACCACAAACATTTTTATACATTCCTTCCTAAACACATGGAACAATGGCAAATCACATTAAATATTCCCTTTAAACTCCCCTATGCTCTACTTTGTACATATATTACATTTAGCAAACTTACACTCAAAGAAACATTCTATAACTAAAGCTGAATCATTATTCAAATCTATGTTGCTCCATCATTCCACCAACCATCCTTTATTCATTTTATTAGCATAATTGCAGCATTTCTGTTAGCATTCTACCAGGCAATAGATTTTGTTCCAAGCACTCTTCCATATTCTCATTTCTTATCCCCACATTTTATACATCAAATTTAGAGGTGTTCCAAATGTTACCATGGAATTTGTGATTATTATCATACTGTTTTTGTTTCTTGTTGTAATGTATAAATTTTCATTAAGGTCAGATTTATTTGTTTTGGATCTCATGTCCTTAGACAATGGCTAGCAAAACAAAAATATGAAAATTAATTGTAATCTCGTTAGATGTATTCTCATTAGGATGTTGAGTGCTTATGGATATTAGTTCATTAAAGATTTGCAATGAATCAGAAAATTCATCTGTTGGCATTGAAAATGCTTATGAAATTAAGTTTGGTACTGAAATTAATTGGGAGCTAGGAATGAAGAGAGATTAATAAGCTAAATCTGAGTTTTATTTTCTACAATAGATATCAACAATGTTACACTATGGATATATTTTCATCTTATTAGATAAGCAAAGGACTATGAGACCCAGGATAAATTTCTCCAAAGTTAAACAATATGGGCTGCAGCTGAGAAAACTCTTTAAAATTCTAAATAGCTGCTTTTGATTGTAGAATGGAATTGTATTAAATAAATGTCTCAACTGCAATCCACATTATTTAATTGGTACAGCATAATTGTATAACTGGTTATTCATTTTATATTTCCTAGATTATACACAATACTATTATATATTAATACTATGATCATTTTATAATTTCCATTTTGCTAAGAAATTTTACGATAATAAAGCTGAGTAATAATAAATGGGTAAACTAGGAATCTTACTGGTCTCAAATATCTTTAAATATTTTTGTTGCAATGGATACCAGTTTTATTGTGCTGGATGCATCTAAATAACTATCATAAGATCTTTTGTGTTTTTGAACAGTTAGCCTTGGAAGCAACTACAGAAAGAAACTTACATCATACACAGGGGGTTTAGCAAATTAGTGTCTGCATTTGTGTAACACATTACACCCAATATCAATCAGCCTAAATTAAAACAGGTGAGCCAGTCCAAATACCGGCAACTTCCTCCTAACTAAAATGGTCATTTTTAAAAATGAAAGTACTTTTCTGATTACCTATTTAATTAAGGGCAAATGTAGGCATCTGCATTCTCTCCATTCAACATTAATATCTCCCTCGCCCCCCCTTTGTCAGATGTAGTGCAGTCCCAAGTAATCTCCATTGCAGTAAGTTTATGGAAGTGCTTTTTCCAAAAGGCAACTGGACTTTTTTTATTTTATTTATTTATTTTATTTATTTGATTTGCCAATTGTTTACAAGATAATAAGTATAAGTGTATACATAGTTGTGAATACATGAAATGGGTACATATAAGAAAAATAAAAGAAGAATAAGAGAAACAATAGGACAGGGACGGTAGGCACGTTGGTGCGCTTATGCACGCCCCCTACAGACCTCTTAGGAAAGGGGTGAGGTCAATAGTAGACAGTCTAAGGTTAAAGTTTTTGGGGTTTGGGGAAGAAACTACAGAGTCGGGTAGAGTATTCCAGACATTGACCACTCTATTGCTGAAGTCGTATTTCCTGCAATCAAGTTTGGTGCGGTTAACTTTGAGTTTGTATCTATTGTGTGCTCTTGTGTTGTTATGGTTGAAGCTGAAGTATTCATTGACAGGTAGGACATTGCAATGTATGATTTTATATACCATGCTTAAATCAGACCGAAGACGGCGTAATTCAAGGTTTTCTAGTTCTAGAATTTCAAGTCTGGTGGCATAAGGTATTCTACAACGAGTAGAGGAGTGGAGAACTCTTCTTGTGAAATATTTCTGGACTTTCTCAATTGTGCTAATATCAGATATGTAATGTGGGTTCCAGACTGATGAACTGTATTCGAGTATTGGTCTAGCAAATGTTTTGTATGCTCTGGTTAGTAGTGTGATATTACCAGAGAAAAAGCTACGTAAGATTAG